AAGGACTCCTCCACAAACTACCATCATACGGCTTACCACCTCAGCTATGCCATCTCTTGTCGAGTATTCTTTCAGGCAGATCGCTTCACGTGGTGGTGGACGGTGTATCGTCTGATACCATTGGCATCAATTCCGGCGTTCCACAAGGATCAATTTTGGCACTAACATTATTCCTGCTTCATATCAATGATCTGTTGGGAGTAACAACTTGCCCCATCCACAGCTTTGCAGATGATAGTACCCTCCATACTGCGTTCTCTTCCAGAATTCCCATTCCTTCTCAGGAAACTAAGAACTCACGGCGCAGGCAGATCAATGCTGTAAATGAAGATCTTGCTGAAATCACAGCCTGGGGAACGAACGACCTAGTTGAATTCAACGCCACCAAAACTCAAGCCTGCATTTTCTCTAGAAAGGCGGAACTCAGTATGCCCGATATTGTAATGTCTGGCTTCATCATCCCCACCAAGCCCACCATATCTATGCTCGGTATTTCCATCAGCAACACTCTTTCATGGGATAATCATGTCAGATCCATCGCAAAAGCTGCTTCACAAAAACTCGGATTCTTGTTCCGTGCAAAAAGCTACTTTACACCTCAACAGCTTCTCATGATCTACAAAGCGCAGATACTGCCTGTTCTAGAATACTGTTCCCACATATGGGGTTCAGCACCAAAACATACGCTGATTCTCTTAGATTCCATCCAGAGAAGAGCCATTCGCCTGGTGGGTGACGCCACACTCAATCACTCTTTGACATCATTGGAACACCGTAGAAAGGTCGGCGACCTTTCACTTTTCTATCGATACTTCCTCCCCAGGTAACAAGCTGACGTCATTTGTACGTCATTATCACGTCAGGCCTGACGTCAGGATGACTTCCAAAATGACGTCATAATGACGTTTATATGACCTTCTAAGTCAAAGACGAATGACGTCATTTTCATGTCATCAAAATGACGTCATCCTAATGACGTCAAAATGACGACATCCTAATGGCGTCAAAATGACGTGATCTTTACGATTATTTATATCACTGAAATCTTCTGCATGTTTCAGTTTATTTTGTGCTATTTCGAAATTTTCTGTAGGTAAAAAAAACACTGTTGCATTAGGGTTGTATCAATATTATCAGAAGAGATGAGATTTTTTTTGTATAATTATATTGATGTTCCTTTACCACATTAAATGCAAAATAATATTATAGCTAGGTACTATAAATACCAGTTTCATAAAATGTTCTTTTTATTGGGAACTTATCCCATTCGGATGATGCACTCAAGAGATTTCTCAGAACCCTATGGTATTCCTTCAATGGCGTCCAATTCACATTCTGCTTTTTCGGCATACACCACTTGTCTAAAATAATGACCATGCTGCCATCCTCAAATTCTACTTCTTGATATATGAATATGAATAAGTATGACCACCACACCACACCACATAGATAGCCGAATAACATGATGATGATGGCCTTCTATGTATTGTTATTTTGTTGTTATGGTCATCATGGCGGCAACGGCGAAGCGAAAGTGAACGGCTTGGCCACAGCCGTCTTCTGAATACGGCTGTGGGTTGGCGCTGGCGGTCGACGTTCGCATGTCTGCGCAAGGTCCGTGCCGACCAATCAAATACAGTTCTCTACGCACTCTCCCGCTCTGATTTGAATTCGCATTCCGGAATAACAACGTTATAAGCTTTTTATGACGTGACATTCGGTCTTATATTTTTAATAGCTATAGGGAGAATACTTTGCACAGAAGGTATATAATTAACAATTATCTCAGAGACCATCGAAAACACACATCTCGCGCAGATTAGAGGAAAAATTATTATGAAGCATAATATATGATGAGTGACATAATACTATATGTTATATAACATAACTACTAACGTTTCCATATAACAGAGATGGGAAACTTCTTGATTATGGATTTTCCTTGATATAGATGACTCAATAAATGATGGTCATAATTAGTCATGAAAATGACCATCAGATGACGTCATAATGACGACATATCAAGGACGTCTATATAACGTCATATTGAGTACGTCAAAATGACGTCATTTTGAGGTCATATGACGTCAATGACCATAAATGACCATATATTGACGTACAAATGACGTCAGCTTGTTACCTGGGTCGGGAGATGTTTTTCAGAAATCTCTGCTATCATCCCTTCACTAGCAATACCAATCAGACGAACTAAACAAGCCCAGTCAGCACATCCTTCCGTTGTCAACCTCGAAAGATGTCGAACAGCACTTTATCAGGACTCCTTCATCCATAAAACGGCTAGGCTCTGGAATTCATTGCCTGTGGAAGTGTTCCCAACAACATATAATCTTCAAAAGTTCAAGAAAAATTCCAATACCTACCTCCTGTCCCTATCCTCCCTAGGAACGCACGATGTTCTTCGAACATTATAGGGATTCCCTTTCGTGCGCTCTAAGCGATGAAAAAAACAAAAAACGATTTATGTCAGATTCGCCGTGAAAGCTCTGTTATATAAATTCGGATTTTTGTCTCATACAAGGAGAAGCTCCTTATGATCTTCTAATAAAAACAATTTCTTTTAAAGTAAACTTTCTTTATAGATGTTCAAGATATCTCAATCAATGGACCAAAAGTATTATAATAATATACAACACTATCATACTCTCCCACTTCACTTACTGCTCAACTATTTTGTATTAACTAAACCAAAATCAAATATATAGATTTCAAAAACTACAGAACCGATCAATGCGCACAATCCTTTCATGCAATAGACACACTTCTATTACGACAATGTTGAACAGACTAGAATGGTTGCCAGTTAAAGATTCTTTATTGTACCAGGTACTCGTTTCTGTAAACAAAATAAGCAATGGAACTGCACCGGACTACCTGAGAGATAAAGTGAACTATAATTTCGAATATCACCACTATGAAACGAGATCATTCCCCAGTTCCAGAAAAGATTTATGCAAAACTCGATATTTTTCAAAGGCTCAAGAGCATTCATTGAATTGCCAACTGCAATAAAAAGTGCACACTCTCTCAATTGTTTTAAGATCACTCTCAAAAAATATTTGTTGGAGGAAAGTAATCTTTAATGTGGATGATTGACTTTATTTTATTTTTATTGTATAGTATGTATGTAGTAATGTTGTTTGACATATTTATGTGTTATATGTACAATGTATCAGTTTCTTATGACTGAATGAACGGATATATATATATATATCTGCAAAGCTCGGATACGACCAGTTTTGTAGTACTGTTCCCTGTTCGGTACCCAAACATACGCTCATTTGCTAGGATTCCATTCAGTGACGAGAATCCTTGAAAAAGGAAGTATTCCCAAGAACTCATAACCTGAATGAGTTGAAAATACCAATACCTATCTTCTCCTTCAGTATTTCCTAGGTACGCATGATGTTTCTTGAACTTTCTACGGATTCAGATTCTTAATAATAATAATAATAATAATAATAATAATAAACTTTATTCAGTACAATAGAAATACATACTGAAATGGCGAAGTTCATCTCTTGCTGATAGCCAGGTGATGGTCTTCCACTCAACCAGGCTTAAATCTAGTCTTAGTATCTAACCAAAGAAAGAAAACCCATGAAATGATCAATTTATGATATAAAATGGCAAATATAAAACAAATGTAATACAGAGAAAAAAAAAAAAAAAGTGAAGTATAAGTTAGACCAATTAAACAAGGGTTTTCAAATATTAACCAATTACGAATATATATCAACAGGTAGGTATCGAAGTGGTCCAGTTATTCACTTTTGTTTTCAAGAATAAGGATGTAACAAGATGACTGAATTACTAAATGAATACAAGATAATAAGTAAGACTCAGTCTTATTGAAGATACAGTTCCCTGCAGGCTTTATGAAAAGTAGAGATAGACCTGTCCTTGACAGAGTTCGGTATGGAGTTGTATATGGCAGAAACGTTATATGAAAAACTTCTCTCAAACATGCTCGATCTGTGAATAGGTGGAGTTATAATACCATTTGACCGTATGTTCAGGTTATGAACATCTGATCGAAATTTGATTTTCTTGAATAAATAACTTGGCTGTTTCGATAAAATGATTTTATGGTACAGCGTGGCACAGTGAAGTTTACGAAGAGATTTCATATTTAGCCAACCAGCTTCAGTAAGCTCATGACGAATGGGTTGCCTCTTTCTTATACTGAAGATGAAACGCAAACAGTGATTCTGTATTTTTTGTATCCTATGAACATCAACTGCCGTGAGACATGGACCATAAACAGTGTCACAATGGTTAAACGTTGACAAAACTAGCGAGTTACAGAGTACAGTTCTTAGATGTCTGTTCAATAAGGAACGTGAGCTATATAGGAGTTTCATTTTCCAGATTGACTTCTTTATACATTCAGAGACATGTTTATGGAATCGTAGGGAGGCATCTGTACATACTCCAAGATTTTTTGCTGCATCAGAAAAACTCAAAGGAACATTGTTGATGGATAACTGAATATCTTTCTTCAATATTTCCCGAGCCTTGTTATTACCGAATAGTAAAGCAGTTGATTTGTTGGGATTTAGAGCCAGGTGATGATCACGGGAGATTCTATAAATAGTGTCTTGCGCGCCAAGGGATGGAAAATTGAAATATTCTATAATCCTGATGATTTTTTTCTCTATTGAAATTCATCACTCACTGCTGGAGGAATCATTCATTGTTATTTTTTATTTTTTTCATCGCTTGGAGCGCACGAAAGGAAATCCCTATAATGTTCAAAGAACATCGTATATTCAAGTATAGATGAAATTATATTCGTTCGTAATCGATGGGTTTGTTCGATTGTGGTGCTAGATACGTGCAAGTCTAGCAGGAATGCGTATGTTAATTTCTTGTCTCGAGTATCTGATCTGAATGTGTTTGTGTTGAGCACCTTGCTATCGATTGATAAGATCAAGCTGAATTAACTCGGCCAAAAAGAGTCGACAAGCAGTTTAGTTTGGTCAGTTACCATAACCTGAAACAACAATAAATCGAGTTGAAGACTACAAGGATTCTAGGAGTTTCACCAACTGACATCGTATAAGACGCCTCAGTGAGCGACGTGATAAATAATGGATATCATGGTTTCAGAACAAATTATAGGTATATTATAATGGGGAAGAAAATATATTATCCCCTGAATAGGTAGGTATATTAGCTCATACTGCATTATTGTCTTCTCAGATGGTGACATAGGCTACCTTGTGGTTGAGTGGTTATAATAATGCTTCCATCATAAGAGTTGATCGTAATTTATGTTCGAGGCTGATGAAACTGTTTGTTTGTAGCAAATGCACCGTGCTTACTTGTTTTGCATATAAATATACTATAATCTGCTTTGTGACGCTATCGATCTGGATCATGAATAAAATCAGTTCGCCTACAGGAAACTGTACATTTAAAGATGAATCACAACAAGGGATTATAAGTTTTTTTATGTTCTCTATTGGAATTTCGAGAAAAAAAAAGTTAACATAGATGATATTATTCAAAGAATTAGAAGAGACTGGAATGAAATGTCGCTTGGATACTATACCAACCAATCGGAATTTCTCAACTTGATTCGAAACCAATTGAGTCTAGGACTTTCCTCTGAGCCCTGTGGCTCCTAGCTTCAATATGTAAAGTCACACTGAGGCCAAATGTGATACTTTATCCAACTTCCAGCGACAACCTCGGAATTCGATCGGATCTGTCGAATTCGGGGAGCGATAGTGATTGCAGTTCGTTTAATAGTTTAATGCTGGAATGGATTAGGGCTTTAGCGAAGAGGATTTTCCTTAATCGTCGAAGTAACAAGTGCTGCTTTAGCCCATCGCCCTATCTCCACTTAGTTTCGATCCGGTTTGTCACCCTTCGACGATTGCGCCAGTAGAAGGATGAATCTTGGATTCATCGGATCAGGTTATCGATTGGAAATAATCGACTTTGGGAGTCGAGCATAGTTGAAACTTGTCTCTTCGATTGATAGTGATTGTTTTCACATATTATTGGCTCACTTCGATCATTAAAGTATATTTCATTTATTATGTCTTGTGTAAATATTTATTCAAGATTCTGAAACGCCTAAAGAACTTGAATTGCCTACGTTCATCTTTCTGTTCCAAATTGTTTGTACATATTCTGATGATTCCTTGTTCTGAGTCTGATACGATTTGTGATTGTGCAGGAAGTTTGACATGTATAACCTTGAAGATTTTGAAGTTCCAATTATTTTCGATATAATAAAGTAGCTCTGGACAAACGACTATATTTGACGACGCGCTTTGTTTGTTCGAAACAATATGAATTGGTTACTATGGAAATGAATATAATTCTGAATTTCTGATCGTTGGAGCTACTCTATGTATATTCACGTATATACGAAACTTCTCGAAGGAGCTCAGCCAAATCGAACGTTCTGATTGATTTGAAATCATACCAAGAAAATAATTATGATTATACATCAACTAGTCAGGGGTTAACGATGATAGTTAGCAGGCCTGCCACTGCGCATATGGTAGTGAGTACATTACTAGCCTACAAAACACAGCTGAAAAACTCTGAAAAAAGAACTGATGGGCGGTGCCTGAAAAGGATGTTAGCCAGCTCTCTTGAGCGAACCACATCAGTCATTGAAAACACTTGGGGTTTGCAAAAAGGTCCCATTGGGGACTAGTTGCTGACGTGGAAACGTCCCCCACCAGTACCAGTACCAGTACATCAACTAGTCTCGATTTTCCCTATTCACCGTATAGCTAGCTATGTTAATCTCATCATGGATCACCTGGTGTATATAGTCACAAATATTCTTTCTGGGTATTGATATTTCAGAATATATACTTGATTATTATTTGATATCTGAGTGGTCTTCTCTGAGTTTTCTTGGTACAGAATATGCTTCGATTCTGAGAACTCTTTGCAATGTGCTGCGGGAATATTTGAGATCATCAAGACGAGAATGGACACATATATACCCCATTCATCAAAAATACCATCACAGTCAATATTCTGATTCTCTTGCAACTGTTCTGGGGCTATTTTCTCAAAACACACAGTTCACCATCGCCTGCGCAAAAACCTGCGATCTACTCAAAATCTATTTTAATACTTGCTACAAACCCACCACTGTACTTCAGGAATAGTCCCTAGACCAGTGATGCGTAATACCCAAGATGAAGTCAATGGCCAACCTCAATAAAATATAATATTATGGTGATAATATTTATTTCTTCAAAGATTTCAGGAGTCTCATTCAAGTATATTTCATTTATAATATTTATTCAAGATTCTGAAACGCATAAAGAACTTGAATTGCCTACGTTCATCTTTCTGTTCCAAATTGTTTGTACTCATTCTGATGATTTCTTGTTCTGAGTCTGGAAGAAGATAATATGTTGGTCAACGAGATATTCATCATGAAGTTCCCATATCTTGACTACATGCAAGAAAACAGGAATAGATAGGTCTTTGGCAAAATGAACTAGAACTTTCTGTACATACACATATTCATTTTTACCTGATAATCATCAACCCACCAAATGAAACTCAATTTCACAATGGATGAATATGGAAGTAACTCTCTCGCAAAGTACAAAACATCAATATTATTGAATACTGTCTGAAGGTTAATCGAGAAGGTGGTATACTCATTAATCCAGATTTTTTTGGATTCTTTCTCCCCGTTTCTATTGAATGAAAAAATAATATTATTTCAATATCCGATAATTGTCTTCATTGTGTAACCGCGTTTAAATGAAATTTCCATCAGAGAGCTTGAAAGAAAAATTAACTAGTACGTCAGTGACGATTTGTATTGAAAAAGGTTCCGAGAAGCGTAATAAAGGTATATAAAAAATACATCAAATTCTCACTTTCAGCTCCTGTTTTCAACAGATTCGTTTCCGAAACGTCCAAAGGTGAGTTAAGGGTGTAATGTTCAAAGGAGGTCACGGATTTGTATGAGGAGGAGTCTAGAGGCTGACTTATAGTTACATCGAAAGTAAATCTGAATTTGGTGTAGAATCTGAAATAAATCCCCATAATATGCTCCAAGGGATTTGTATGAGGAGGGTTCTAGAGGCTGACTTATAGTTACATCGAAAGTAAATCTGAATTTGGTGTAGAATCTTAAATAAATCTTCATAATATGCTCCAAGGGAAAGTGATTATCAACTGCTATCTGTTTTATTACATAAATTTCGTTTCGGAAGTCTTTGAAAACGAAATAAATCAATTCAAGTGGCCAAACTTTTCAAAAACTTCAACATCAACATATCATATAGAACAACGTCAAATCTGAAAAAACTACTTGTTAACTCCAAGGATTAGACCCCTTTGAACCAAAAATCAGGTGTTCGCAGACTCAAATGTAACGATTGTAATGCTGCTCATATTGGACAAACAGGTAAAAGTTTCGACATTCGTTTCTCTGAACATAAAAGGTTGATATCAATATTTCTCTCAACTGACGACCTCGGCTCTTCTTCTTCTTTTGCCAATCACATAATTGATTTAGATCAAACTTTAAATGTCACTAACAGTTCAGATATCCCCCACGTTTGTAATAAAGACTCAATCTTCTCGAAATTCTCGAAATTCAGAAATGCATTAGTAACCCACATTTTTCGTGCCTCAATGATCAGACCAACTTTGAACGTACTCATATTTTTCGTTCTTTACGTTTTTCATAATAATCTTGCTTTTATGGTTGTTCTGTTGAGTCCGACTCTGTTTAAATGCTCTCAGACTCAGATTGCAATTCTTTCTCATCATTTCCTTCTTCCTTATTCTCTCCATTTTTCTTTTTTTGTGTCTCTTTCACCTTGTGTCTTGTTTTGTCTACTCTTCTAATTTATTCATTTAATTTTCTCTCTGCTATTTTTCAGCTCATCTTGTTCTTTCTCTTCTTCCGATTGCTAGGTTGTGTATATCAGTTTCCTCTGACATTGACAAACAAATCCATATTCCTGTCATTCGTTAACATATTGTTCCATGTCTACATTATGTCAATACTGTCAATCCTTCAGTTGCTTTTTCTATATACCTCTATTTTGACAATGTTCTCAACATTCAGCTACCTTTAGAACATGTAATCGATGAAAAAATGTTTTCATCTTATTTGAAATATTCAATTCCATGAGTCAGATTTTTCTGGCCCTTCAGCCGCTTCAGAGGATGAAACTGAATTTGACTCATCAAGAAACTTATTCTGTTCTCAACATTCAGCTACCTTTTGAACATGTAATTGATGAATAAATGTTTTCATATTATTTGATATATTCAATCTCATGAGTCAGATTTTTCTGGCTCTTCAGTCGCGTCAGAGGATGAAACTGAATTCAACTCATCAAGAAACTTATAATGGTTTTCGATTATATTGGTCTTTTTGATTTTCTGACCCATAACAGGTTTGTTTTATTCTGTAACCATATACTTGTTTCTCCTCAACATTCGTAATGTATTTTGAGTCGTTTCAGTCTGATGATAGCGGTTGTGCCGAAACTTGTCACTTTCTTATGTAATTGTTGATATAAAGTGTTGTTGACCGACTCAGAGTCTTTTATTTCATTCAAGATTATGGAGAGGTTGAATGGAGAAAATAGTTGAATGCGGCGAACTCGAGACGTATCGATTGAAGAAGTTTTCTGTTCACTTCACAATCTGATCTGAGAGGAGTTTGAAGTTTTCGTGATGGGCAACTCTGGAAAGAGTGGAGAACCATCGAATCTAGACTTGAATGTGAATTCGATATTTGGGTGGAGAGATATAATGGAGTCAAGACAGTCAGAACCTTCATAAGGAAAGTCATCAAATACCATCGAACTGGAATTTTCTATTATTGATAGTAATATTCGTTAATAAATAGAAGATTGATCATTTTTCATGATATAACCAACATAATCAATTTACTGAAATTTGGCAATGAAGTCAAACACTCCACTGCCCTCAATTTTCCTATTATAATGCCTACCCTAGATTCTTGAACTGCAGCTC